GCCAAATCATTGGGTAAGTATCTTTAATCAATTTCCAACTATATTTCATGATTTTATACAATATTTAACATCAAATTCATGGGAAAACTGTGGAAAAATTTGGGGATTTTGTCAATGTTTTGAAAAATGAAAATTTGGGATTTGAGAGTCGAATAAGACTCGGATTAGAAAACAAAATACATATTTGGACTCGGGGGGCTATGGGTAGTCAAGACCTACCTTTGGACCCGGATTTTGACCGGGCGGGCCCGGGGTTTGACTTTTGTTGACTTTTTAGAAATTGAATGAAAATTATAGCTTTATTAATCGAAATTATTTTCTCTTGCATTGTGTGGTGTATTCAAGTCGTCGTTGGCTAGATTGAGTCGAGCGGAGGTGAATTTGTAGAGGAAGAGGCTACGTTGAGTGTTGAGTTAGCCGAATCGAGGTAAGTATTTTGCTTAATCATGCTCAGGGGGTGGATTATGTTATATTTGTGTTTGTAGAATTTCGTGACATTTTGCTTGATGCCTTGACCCTTAGATACTAAGGACATAATATTAAATGATAGATATTAAGACTTAGTTTGTTAGAACTTGATCAAACTTGATAAAATTGTAAGAATACATTGATTTGTCTAATTTGGTCATCTCTATGAGAAATCATTACTACATTACTACAACCGATATTCTTGACATGCTAGACCATATACTTGTGTTGTGGATCATTTATGAGATTCGTAGAAGTATTTGAATAATATGGTTCTTGAGGTTTGTTGAACCATTATTGTCTTGGAAGGTTTTATTTGGAAGATGTGTTTGGTATATCCGTTTAAGCACTCTCCTCGATGTTATTTATACTTCCTGCCTTGCCATTTTATTGATATTCATATGCTTGGTAAGGAAGAGTGTAAAGCACGAAGGGTTATGGCATCCAATTCTATATTCATTATCATGTGAGGAAGAGTGTAAAGCACGAAGGGTGATGCCGTGCCATTTTATATTCATTATCATGTGAGGAAGAGTGTAAAGCACGAAGGGTGATGCCGTGCCATTTTATATTTATTATCATGTGAGGTAGAGTGTAAAGCACGAAGGGTGATGCCGTGCCATTTTATTTATATTGTTATGCTTGTATGTTACGGTGAGGTCATAGCATGAAGGGTGTTTCCGTGCAGGTGAGGACGAGGGACATGCATTCTGATGTGATATTTGTTTCCCGTGTATGCGGGTGCGCCCTTACTTTGAAATGTTATTGTTGTATTTACATATTTGGTGTGACTTGTTGTTATTGTCTTGTACTTGACTTTATCTCAATTGTTGTTGTATTGTCCATGTCTTTTTAGTTGCTTAACTTGAAATTACCATGTCTATTCCTGCTTTTATAATTATACTCATGTTGTATCTATTGTGTTGCACTTTAGTATAATTCTTCCACCATGCAAGCCATTCATGCCTTTACTTGTTAACTTATAAAGAACATGTGTTTTCTTCTTAATTCTTATATTTGTACTTAGGCCTCCATATGCTAGTTAATTGAAGTTGATATTCCCTGTTTTTCAATTGTTGTTGTTACTCACGTCCTTTCCGCTTAGTCCTTTACTGTGATCCACATATGTATCCTTCTCCATTGTTGTTACTTGCGTATTTCCTGCTTAGTAATTTCTATTATTGTGTTCCTGTAATATGGTTGGCACTGTTACAGGATTTCTTGGAAAGGATGAATTGAACGCACGAAGGGTGTTGCCGTGCCAATTGAATTGTTTCATAAATTTATTTATGTATGGTGAGGATGAGATAAAAGCACGAAGGATGTTACCGTGCCATGTGATTTGATATTTTGACATTTTAGACATATATCTCATACCAGGGAAGATCGTAAATATTCTAATGTGGTTCTTTATAGTATTCATTATCTGACTTGCCGGGTTGTATGTGATACTTTTATCCATTATACTTTGAACTGCTTTACTGTTAAACTAATGTACAAGTTATTTAAATAAGCATCTTTTTTTAACTAAAAGCCGCGTCACTACTTTGACGAGGTTAAACAAAATACTTACCAGTACATGAGGTCGGTTGTACTGATACTACACTTCTGCACGTCCCGTGCAGATTTTGGAGCGGAGTTGCTGGTGAAGTCGGGTGATAATTCGGAAGAAGTTCGTGCGTTTGGATATAGCTGCCACTTGTCCTTGGTAGTTTAGATTATTGCTAATCTGTTTATGTAATCTTCAAACAGAACGTGTATTTATTTATATCGGTTTTGAAATTTCAAATCTTAGAAGCTCGTGATTTGTACTACCAGCTCTTGGTAAACTTGTAAAGGATCAGTTAGCTATTCTCTATTTTCTTATTATCTCAGTCGTATTGTGTTGTTCATGTTAGTTGGCTTACCTAGCGGTTGAGTTAGGTGCCATCACGACTTGTGATTTTTGGGTCGTGACATATACTAAAAGCACGAATACCTTCAGCAAAATGTTGTTCGCCTTTCTTATCCTTCAGTAATAGAGTTCACATTGGACAAAATAGTAATTTAAGTTATTGGGTTAATATTTGACAATATTTTAATTGATTTTCTACTATTTAGGAGTAGTTCCGTTTTAGGTTAATTTTTTTGTGTGGGGGGGGGGGGGGGGTAGGGTTAATGGAATAGGAAATTTCGTATATTTTGGAGTGTTAAATATCTCTTTTTATGTTTAGGAGGATAACAATATTAAATTCTTGCAATTTACATTAGCTTTCGTTTGCTTTCTAATTTCATTATATTTATATTTCTCCTTTTAGGTTTAGGAAGGATTTTTATTTAATAAGATTTAGGGGTTTTATTGTTAATAAAGTTTTGATAATTTAATTCTTTATAAATATATGCCGGGTAAAACGCATGCATTTTGAACTCAGTTTAGGAGTTTTTATTTTTTAATAATTCTTTTGTAATTTTTAACTATACATAATGTGACTTTACATAATTCTTTTTCTGTTTAGAATTGTACACATGAGTACTTCTAAAAAAGAAGTTCCAATTCCAGTTGTCATCATTAAAACTTTATTGTTCAGTAGAAGCTACAAAATTAAGGATCTTTATATTCTTTTTCTTTGACTTTGAGCAAAAAAAAATTTGAAGTTGAAATCTAAATTCACATATTTATATTAGTAGTTATATTTTGCATTCACGCATTTGTATTAATAGTTATATTTTGTATTCACGTATTTATGTTAGTAGTTAATTTTTTATTCACGTGTTAGCAACAAGAAAACAATTTTATTTTTTATAAAATTAAAATAAAACCAAATATGATGAATTGTAGATCCGGAGCTAAGTCATGGCTAAAACTTGAATATCCAAGTAGATTACATTTGGGAGTTAAGTCGAAGATCACGGTGGTCTTCTGAGTAACTGCGATTGTAGTTTTCTTATGGCCTCACATCTAAAACTCGACAAAGCTGCTTACCTTTCTTTCAATGCTTTAAGATGGAAGTACGTAGAGTATAGGACTTTCTCAATCTCCGTCCAGACGGATTTGATTTCTTATTCATTCCTTCTCTGCTCCTGAAAACATATCAAGATCAAGGATGTTAAAAAGACAGAGTCAATCAAAAGATCAAAGAGTTATTTTTTTTCTAAAGTGACATTCTCTCTTCTATCTATCTATAATTGAATTATGAACTTCATTAGATATTTCAATTTAGAAGCAATAGTTGAACCGGCATAATAAAGAAGCTAGCAAAAGGGTAGGTTAAGAGTCAGATTCGGCCAAATAAACCAGTCTTCTTGCATCTTTGAATTGACTAAGCATTTTATCATATATGTTTGTAGTAACTGAATTTTCCAGTAACGTTTAGCCAATACATCTTTATTTTGGTATTTTTGATTGTGAATCTTGGTTGAACTTGACAGTCACCATATTGCGTCAGACTTTGTGCTTCAACCTTTTATCAAGCTATTTCTTATACTATTTTGTCGTGCTCTCATATAATAAAATATAATATAACTAAAATATTTGATGCGGTACACACGTGCAATGCACGTACACTAAAGCTAGTGTGTGTGTGTTTGTGTGTGTGTATTACAAAAATATTTTTCGATTATTATCTTGAGAGCGGCTATACAAAGTTATTTTCCCATCTTAATTCAGGGAAAAGAATGCTTTGGTAGTCCAAGACAAACAAGTAATAAATTAATCCATGTTGGTTTCCCAAGTTTAATTGCTCTGCAGAAGTAAAGGCTTACAGCTTGTTTGGATGGTTGTTACTTATTGTATTGTATCGTATTGTTATTTTAAATACGACATCTGTTTTGGTTGATATTTAAAATTTATTGTATCGTATCTTTAAATCTATAGTTACAAAACGACGAAAAGTGTCACTTTATCGAACGACGGATTTGGTGTGGTGGAGTCATTTTCTTGCTTTTTTTCTCTCATCTTGCACTTCCTTACTATTAAATAATCATAATTTATGATTTACCCTACATTTTTATATAATAATTCTACTATGTATCCTCTTTTTCTTAGTAATGATGCAAGTTTATACTTCATATTATTGGTGCGTGATATCATGAAACAACGGCAAATGATACAATCTATCCAAACATTGTATTCATCAAACAATACAATACAATGTGTTGGACTTTAAGCATTGGGCTTTAAAGACTTTAAGCATTGGGCTTTAAAAGTCTAAGAGTGTGAATTGAAAATGGTGGGAAATAAAATGGAGGGAAATAAAAATTTGAATGGAGTGAGCTTTTGTCTTGAACTTTGTCCCTCATTGGTGAGGGACAACTACATTTGTGTGTATATATATAGAATCACTTCTTAGAGCTCTTAAAAGGAGTTGAAGAGAATGAACCCTCGCGCCGTCGTCGTCGCTCGTTCGGCTCGGCTTCGGCTTCGGCTTCGGCTTCGGCTTCGGCTTCGGCTTCTTTGGATTTGGACTTGGATTTGGATTTGTCAAATGATCGATAAGATTATTTTTTGGACAAAATTTATTTAATTAATTATTTAATAATTAATTAAAAGTCAGTCAGTTAATTAACGAAATTAACTGAAAGTTGAAATCCAAATTAACGAAATTAACTAAAATCTTGAAATCCAAACGCTGAACGTTTTTTTCCCTTCTGAACAGACGCTTTTCCTGAACAGCCACACCTCTTCCGATAATTGCTTCTAAATTCTGAGGCATGGCTGCATTTTCGAAACACTGAAACATTACAGAACTTCCTTCCTTCTGATTATCCTGCATTCTATTTCGCAGAATTCTCTCAAATTCGTAAGTGTGATTTTGCTCCGTTCTTTGAGTTCGTTGGTATCCTACAGTTTGTATTGCCACTGTTGTAGGAAGGTTTATTCCATTTTATCCTGGGAGGATTTAATCCATTACCTTGGCAACGTGTGAGGGGGTTAAAATTTCTTAAGGAGGCACAAGAAACTTGTGGACTCGGAATATTTTTTATACTTTACTGTTTTTTCCAGTTTTTTATTCTAACAGTCTTTCTGATTTTGTGTTTTAACACAGTAGCGTTCACAAGCTTAAGAAATTTTATCTAACGTTTCTGTGTTGAAATATATATTATAAACTGTCATATATATTTTGTATACTAGTTTGGAGACTAAATCCTTCGTGCTTTCTACTCCAATAATTGTTCTGTCCGGTTTAAAGCATATCAAAACTTTACCGGAATAATAAACGTACAGGTTTGAAGTATATAAAAACTTCAGCATTGTTACGCGTTGTATGTTTGGTTTGGTATTCAGTTTGAAGATATCAAAATTTCACTGATTTAACAAAGTTCTGTTTTGTTTCCAACTCTACAGAAAAAATGACGAATGAGAACCAAACTAATGAAAATATTGCGGGAACGGGTGCTACTGTTATGAATGTTGCTGCCTCGTCAAGCCGTTCAACTCCTGCTCATGCTATGGCACCAGCAGAAAAACCCGGAATGTTTTCCGGAATCGACTTCAAACGTTGGCAAATGAAGATGCTCTTCTATCTTACTACGTTGAGTTTGCAGCGATTCATCAAGGAGGATCCTCCAGTCCTGGCTAAAACTCCGGATGACAAACGATTTGTTGTAACTGAAGCATGGAAACATTCTGATTTCTTGTGCAAAAACTACATTTTGAGTTGTTTGGAAGATAGCTTGTACAATGTCTATAGTGTCATGGAAACTTCAAAAGCGTTATGGAATGCGCTTGAGAAAAAGTACAAGACTGAGGATGCCGGACTTAAGAAGTTTGTGGCTGCAAGGTTTTTGGATTTCAAGATGATTGACACTAGGTCGGTCATAACTCAAGTCCAAGAATTACAAGTCATTGTGCATGACCTCCTTGCTGAAGGTATGACCCGAATCAATAAATTTATTAATAGGAGTTATCTTGTTATTAATTATGAATTTATTATTGAAGGTATGGTCATAAATGAGGCCTTTTAAGTCGCCGCTTTCATTGAGAAGTTACCTCCGTTGTGGAAGGACTTTAAGAACTATCTAAAACACAAGCGGAAGGAGATGACACTTGAAGACTTGATTGTTTGAGGATAGAAGAAGATAACAAAAATGCTGAAAAGAAGTCACGTGGAAACTCGACAATAATAAGGGCTAACATTGTTGAGGAGGCGCCACAAAATAAGAAGAGAAAGAAGGCTTCTCGACCAAAGAATAACCCAAGCAAGAAAAAGTTCTTGGGTAATTGCCACAACTGTGGAAAACCTGGGCATAAGGCCGTGGATTGTCGTGCACCAAAGAATAATAAGAAGAAGAAGAATCAAGCTAACATGGTTGAAAATGCTGAAGAAATGGAGGACTTGTGTGCCATGTTTATTTACTTAATAGTAAAGATGAGGCAATTGATGCTTTCAAGCAATACAAGAGTGAAGTTGAAACACAACTAAACAAAAAGATCAAAATGATAAGAAGTGATAGGGGTGATGAATATAAGTCTCCTTTTGAAGAAATATGTTTGGAAAATGGCATTGTCACACCTCCTTTTTCACTACACCCGCGAGGGCGTAAAGGAGTTTTTCCACTTAAAGGACAATCGGAACGGGATTTGTTATTAAAATTCAGAGTCGCCACTTGGGAGTTTTATGGTGTCCCAAGTCACCGGTTGAATTCCGAAACGAGGAAATTATGACTCTATTAATAGTCTGCGAACCAGAAATCCGAGTAAGGAATTCTGTTAACCTGGGAGAAGGTGTTAGGCATTCCCGGATTCCGTGGTTCTAGCACGGTCACCTAACTGTTGTAATTGATTTTATCTGATTTCAAAGCATGTTCTAACTTATGTGCCTTCTATTAGTAAACCGCTTTTATTGTTATTTTTTAATAAGAATTGCAACGTCGTGAAAATGCGTCTCGAACCACGTCGCACCAGTGCACCCGTGATTGTCAACACATTTCAACTTCGTTGAGATTTGGATTTGGGTCACATAAATGTGCACCCACATTTAGGAAGGTAATATTATTAAAATGCGCGCCTAAAGCAACTACGCGTTTATTATCTTTGAGGAAGACCGTGAAATTCGCTAAACAGTCCGCCCGAATTATAAGTATTTTTATATAACATTTATTGAGGGCCCCGCATTTGTATTTCAATTGGCGAGGCTCGTCTCATTTATTATTTAAAAGGCAAATCTAAAGTAGACTACGATTTTCTATTTAGTTGTCTCCAATAATGAAAATAGCCCTAATTAATTTGCATGTTCAATATACTATTACGGGAGGTTGGTCAAAAATCAGCTTCGAGTTCAGGGGATTACATTAACAGCCTCAACGTTTATGAGAAGGCTGCCCAAATTGGGTCTTCGTACAAACCCCAAATGAAAAGGTAGTCTTGGATCAGGACTAAGCCATACGTCCACGAAAGGCCCAAACCAATTCAACTTCAATCTACTAGCAGGCCAAACAATCTTTGATCTGGTTTTGAACAATTAAATCCATCAACGAAATACTATAGACCTATTACCAATTTGGTTTCGAATTCTTTGGCCTTAATCACATTTAGACTGAAGGAGTTTCTTCAAAGTAAGTATAGAAATCAATGACACTAGAGTAACTAGAATTTAAAATTATCACAGGATAGAACTTGACTACTTTGCAAGAGTATCTACTGAATCTGAAATTCAAAGCTACAGTTCTTAAGATCAGGGACCATTTGATTTTGTGAAAGTGCAATACATAAATTCATATTTCAAGTTTCACTTCCAATCAACGTCTACTCTATCTGAAACCTCGAATCCACAGAAGAATCATCAGTCAACTAATAGTCACTATGGTTCGAATTAATACAAAACATGTAATTACCTAATGAGTGCCATGGCTGAGGGTTAAAACGAAAGGACACACATAAGATTCCATGCGAGTATTACAAAACCGACAGTCATAGAATTGACAAACTAATTCCAGTTATGAATTTCCAGTTTTAAACAGTTCACAGTCAACTACCTAAGCTAGGATAATGTACATGACATTAATTACACTTCATCAGAGAATTCAATATGAGAAGAATAATCATCACTTCATTCCATTCCCCAAAATCCGAGAGTTACAGGACATGTAACTGGAAAATAGAGTATGAAACGAGTGAGGATCAGCAGCAGTGAGCAGGTAGTCAAACAACAACTCAGATTCAAGTTCACAGCCCAACAAATTTTATCAGAAGCAACCCAGAAATGAGTGGAGGAAACCGCAGCACCAACAATTGACCAAACGAGCTTGATTTATCAAAGCATAGTTGAAATTGACCCAGAAACAAACTCAATCACATCGATAATCAAACACCAGGACTCTCCAGCTATTCTCTTCTTCAAACTAGGCTAAGGATTCGAAACAATTACTAAAAAACTGAAACTGACCTAAGGAATTCAATGTAACAGTGTTTTTGAGTTTTTTGTTATATCTTTTTTGATTTTCTGAGAAGTTTTGGATCTAAAGGAGATTTCAAATTTCAGATCTAGCTTTGAATCTGAAATTCAAATTTCAGCTGTAGGATTTTTTTTTTGGGGAATTTTAGAGGTTCCAAAACTTGTTCTCTAAGGCATTGGCATGCCTTTTCATAGGCAAAATGAGGGCAGCCCTCAGATTTTCAGCTTTCTTTTTAGTCCCTCTTTTATTTTCAGATTAGTCCTCTATTTATTGACTTGTTTCTCAAGTTAACTCACTTATCTTCTGAAATTTACCTTAAAACCCATATCTAGAAGCTTCTAGGAAGTTCTTACTAGATTCTCTACCCTTGAATTGCCTATCTTACCCTTATTTTGGCTCTGAAATTACAGAGTCTTAACGAATTGACCCATTTTAGGTGCCCAAATTACCCTTGATTTAATCCAAAATTACCAAACATATGCTTACTGACCACCAGTCCCTTTTCACCTAGTTAGAATCTGACTATAGTTAAGCTAACTACTCTAATTTCAGTTATAACCAAACATTACCAATTAAGAAGATTTAATAGTTGAACTAATTAATCAAACAGCTTCTAATTAACACTAAACACTAAACTAGCTTTAACCAGAATCACAAAACTTAAAAGAACAAAATTGCTTCAAACCGTCAAACTCACACACAAACCAAATCAGATCAAAGCGAATCAGAACAAAACTCAAATTGAAATCAAGATAACAAATTAAAACAGCACTGCATCAATTAACATGAATAAACTGAAACCCTACTGACGAACAATCAATATGGACTTAAACTAAACTTAGAGCATTTGAATAAAACCTATTCTTAAACTAATGACAAATTTGAAAAAAAATTTCATGTTATCAACTAATCATGGAGAAAGAACAATCATGGAATTACTTCACAACAACATGAGAAAAAAGGAAAACAGAGACAAAATTTGAACAAACTCACTGATTGTGACTCTAGGGTTCTTTCGGCTCATCACTTCAAAATTCACCCAACTCCGGCGAGATTCGAGTGGTTTCAGGGATGTTTGAGGAGAACTAGTACAGGATTTAATTATGTGAGAGGCAAAGGGGGCCTCAGGGTATTGACTTGGGAGTGGTTGAAGCCGGCGCCGCCAACTTGAGGTGGTGGAGTTTAGGGGCGGCGGGCTAGGGTTTCCATAATCTGAGGCGATACAAGGGAATTTTGGGAAAACAGAGTGTGGTATAGGTATGGGGAAGGGAAGGCAAGGTTGGGGTGTGAATTTGGTAATGTTTGGGTGGCGGCGCCGCC